TCTTAATTCCTTTAATGATTTAAAATTATATACTTTTAAATTTGGGGGATTACTTTAGGAATTACAATATATGTTTTAACTTACCAGAGTCTACTTCAGATATATACTGATTTAGTTATAATCCAATATAAAACTTTACTCTTAAAGAGCTCAATTTTCTCACTTTTTAATTCTATGATTTATACATGTAATATCCAGAAAGATCAATCATCTAACAATATTATAGTGTGATAATTACTTATATAATGTTATGTCTTTCAAAGAGCTAAGAGAAGAAAGTAGGAAAGCATATATTTATAGAGTTTTTAATGTTAACCTCTTATTAACCTTTTGGGCTCTCTTTCTACCTGTGGATTTGAGTTATTAATCTGTTATTTCTTTACTCCAAACTCCAGTATAGCTTTGTTACTGCCTCTTTTGTGCTGTCATTGTCAAATATATTACACTTATGTATGTTATTATACCAGTAATACAGTTATTTACATATTATTTTAGTCAGTTGCCTTTTAAATCAGCCAGTTCCCAAAGAATCAGTATTCAAGGTGAACATTTAAATAATCTTCAATCTTTCTCATTCTCTAGTATTGTAATTACATATCTTGCTATCGCTCATTGGAAATGTAGATTATTACAGCACCCACTGTGGGTTAAAAAGGATTTTGTGGAATCCTTGGTAAAGTAACTGCCAGTTATATCTGTGTGGGATATGTCCAAGTGTATTCTTAGGATAAATAGGATTTTCTTTCTTTTGAAAAAACTCTATGTTACTCAGCTTTAGTAATCACTGTGAGTCTTTGGGAAGGTTACGTAACTTCTGAGTATTAGTGTTCTCACCTCAAAAGATGATGATGGAGATTTAAAGAAAACATTTGAAAATCCCTTAAAGTGTTGCATGGCAAAAATGAGAATCCCATGTTTGATACAGTTAAATTAATCTTATCATCAGTAATAGTAACAGGATATAACTTCTACCATGTATATTTTCCCTTATGGCAGTGTACCTGTTATATGTTCATTTTCTGCCTTCATGATATGGCTCTGGCCCACCTCTTGCAATGCATAGTCTACTATTTTTTGTAACTGAGGAAGGATTGTTGATTAATAAAGAAAACAACAAATAAAAATGACTCAATTATTATCTTTAAAAAAATAAACAAATAATTATATTGTATTTGGCTTGCTTTTCTTTACTTTTTTAGTTGTTTATTTATTTATCATTACCTGTCTTTACTGAAGTTCTTAGTATTTGCGTTTGGATTTGGATTACTACTTGATGTCACTTGCCACTTACTTTTATCCTGGAAAACTTCTTTTTACTCTTTATTATAAAGCATTTCTACAAGCATGGAATTGTTATTGGGGTTTCCTCAAAGGTTGATAAGTTATTTATCTCTTGTTGCTTTTGAGATTTTGTCTTTGGCATTCAGCATTTCCACTATAACGTGTCTGTTTGTGAATGTCTTTGTTTTTATGGTACCAGAAGTGTGTTTTTTAAAGTTTTGTTTTGTTTTCTTCTCTTTTTTTGAGAGAGAGAGAGGCATGAGCAGAAGGGGAGAGGCAGGGAGTGGGGGGGAGAAGCAGACTCCTGCTGAGCAGGGATCCCCAAATGGGCCGATCTCAGAACCCTGAGATCATGACCTGAGCCAAAGGTAGAGGCTTAACCCACTGAGCCACCCGGGTGCCCCATGGTATTTGAAGTTATATCAAGTTCCAAGCTCATTGAATATATTTCTCCCATGTCTGAAGGGCTTCATTACTCCTTCTTTTCTTACCACAAATACTTAGCTCACTTACACTGTAGGCCCAACCCCTGAAGGCATTTTGGAGTTTCAATAAGAGTGTGGATGTGAATTGAGCTTAATTACAATTGCAAGTAAGCAAGTTTATAGGACAGAAGGATAATAGATGAGTTCCCTTCCCCAATGTATGTGATTTCAATATTATCTTGATTAACTCTGAACTTGTGATTTCTTGAAAGAATATTGACTGTTAACCACCCGTAGTGAAGCACTTCCAATGTATGTTCTCATAGCACAATTTGTACCTTCTGTACATAATTCATTACTACATGTAGTTAAATAATGCCCATCTAACAATGGATTTCAAGTTCTGGAGTGCCTGGGTGGCTTAGTCCGTTAAGAGTCTGACTCTTGATTTCAGCTCAGATCGTGATCTGGATTGTGAGATTGAGCACTGGTTTGGGCTCCGCTCTGGCTGAGGAGCCTAAGATTCTCTATCTCTCAAATCCTCCTCCCCTTCCTCACACCCCACCCTACTTGTGTGCATCTCTCTCTCCCTCCAAGAAAAAAAAAAAAAAAAAAGATTTCAAGTCCTAATCCCTGAAATTTGTAAATGTTACTTTGTTTAGAAAGAGTCTTTGTAGATGTGATTAAGTTAAGAATATTGAGTGAAGAGATTAGCTTAGATTATCTGGTTGGGGTTTAAATGCTTTCAGATAAGATGTGTCCTGAGAGAGAGAGCACGTGCATAGGCGTGGGACACACACACACACACACACACACACACACACACACACACACAGGAGATACACCAAAGAGGAGAAGGCAGCAGGAGATGGCCTCAAGCTATGCAGTGCTAGCAACCTCAGGAACTGGAAGAGGCAAAGAATGGATTCTCCCCTAGAGCTTCCAGGAGTGTGGCTCTGCCAACATCTCTGAATTTCAACTTCTGGCTTCCAGGACTATGAGGGAATAAATTTCTCTTGTCTATAGTCATTGAATTCTCTATTTTGTTTATCTGGGAATGTCTTTACCTCACCTTAATTTTGGAAAAGTCGTTTTTCTGGATATAAAATTCTTTTTTAGCAGTTTTTGTTGTTGTTGTTTGTTTTTGTTTTTGTTTTTTTAGGTTCAACACTTTGAATATATTGTCCTATTTTTTCTTTTGAGAAGTCAGCTGACCTTGGTAACTTGAGCACCTCAGCTACTAGGGCTTGGCTGTGCTTGGTCTTTCTGGTGTACTTGTTGAAGGAATGAATAAATGGGCTGTGATTCCCCCATCACTCATAGTTTATTAACTGTAGGACATTACTATATTTCTGGTTACCCAGCAAAGGAACTGAGAGGGAACTGTAAAAGTTTTATGAATAGGAAAAAAGAAGCCACAATTTTGTGGGTGGTTTATGCCTGTGGGTCGAGTTAGAATTTGGATTTCTAGGCTAGAAACAGTGGACGTTCTCTGAGGAGTAGCGGGTAGCCGGGGTGATGGAGGGGTAGGCATCTGAAATGGTATTTCCCAGGTACTATACAATAAGCAACAACAGTTTTTCGGGCTAGTCATAGCCATGCTTGATGCAGCTTCTCTGTGGTTTCGCTCCATATTGGTCTTGCATCACAAGGCAATAAGGGATTATCCACGGGGCCCAGAATAGAAGAGATGCTGCAAAATGTTAAAGGAGAGATGTGAGAAAGGCCTAAAACCTAATGACGAATCACACACATCATAGATAATTGAGAGAAAGTGCTTCAGATTTAACAGAGATGAGATACCATATGGTTTGACCTTACGGACAACTCATAAATATTTGACTATATATATTTATCTGAATATATATATAGTTATTTATAGATATACATATATATGTATATATGGCTATTTGAATATACAGCCTCAGACATTGCTGCTTCTGAGTCCTATTCTACATTAGAAAAACAAAAAAACAAAAAACAAAAAACAAAGTCAAACTAAGAAAAAGGACCATGTGATTTGTTTTGAGTTTTACAGTGAGCTCAGTCTGCTGGAACTACTGTTCAAAGAGGCTTTCGCCATTTGACTCATTGACTGCATAAGGATTTTGCTCAGATTAATCACCCTCTTATGCAGTCTACCAACATTAATGGCTACGTCCCGTTACTTCAGCTTATGCCTCAGGGTCCAAATAAGAACATTGTGTGTGTATGCACGTACATGCAGATCTGTGTTTGCAAACAGGAAACCCGTTCCTGAAAGAGTAAATTTCTTTTTCATCCAATTTCCAATTTCCTATTCTTTTCTTATACATTTCTAATTTTCTGTCATTGTGGGAGTGTTTGTCTCTTTGCTACACTTCCCCTCAGCCCACCGTGGCTTAGACCCAGTGTGTATCCCCACCATGTCAAATTCTATTTCTTCCAAGAAGCTACTTCAGCCAGAGGTGATATCTTTATTCTTTGAACGCCTATAGTATGTTGCTTGTATGCTTACATTTTTATCATGATCCTCAAAATGACAAGAGTCACCATTCGTCAAGTGTTCACTATATGCCAACCGTTGGGTCACATCCTTTACCTAAGTTATCGCATTTAATTCTTATAATTCTTACAATTCTTACAATTCTGTGAAGCTCTACTATCTCTGCCAATTGAGAAAACTGAAATTTGAGAAGACTGAAATTCAGGGAAGTTTAAATGATTTGCACAAGACATAGAATTTCTGAGTGGAGAATCCAAAGTTCACACCTAGGTAATTTCTATAGCTTTCATTTTTAACCTTGAACAATTATCGTCTCTTAGTCCAACCTGATAGCATAGTAGATGTATTTTCTTTCCCAGATTATATGATGTTTAAGGATAGAGATCCTATATTATTTCTTTTCTTTCTCTAATAATGGCTTCCAGTACCTAGCAACTGAATAAATATTGATTGGATGAATCAATAAATATCTAGAATGAAATTATTGTAATAAAAATTACTGAGCCTTAAAATATATTTTGGAATAATTTAAGGAAGTTATGCTGATGGCTACAAATGAGTCATTATAAAACTTAAAAGATGTTATTTATGGGTAAGCATGATCATTATGCCAAATATCTTTTTTCATGTTTCTTAAAGTTCTATATGCAAACAGTGTATGAAATGATGCAATACAATATTCACTCACAGTTTTTGTAAGTTTCCTAGCTGGATGATTTGGTTTGGTTCAGTTTATCAAAATGTTTTGTTTTATTCACTTTATGTGTTAACTGCCTGTCCTTTTTTTTTTTTTTCGATTTTGTTTCCAGGATGGTGTAGGGGTGGATGAGAAGCTGTCCTTGCGGCGGGTAGCTGTGGTTGAAGATTTCTTTGACATTATCTATTCGATGCATGTGGAAACAGGGCCAAATGGAGAACAAATTCGGAAACATGCTGGACAAAAGAGAACTTACAAAGCAGTAAGTTAAAAAACAAAAAAACAAAAAGCAAAAGGCATGCATTTTGAAATTTGGTATTATGTATGTTGATTTTGGGTTAAATATTTATAAATATTCTATCTTCAGTGTAAATCAGACTATATCATGGTTACACCCAACATTTAAACTATTATGATTAACTGATTCTGTTTTGGTCATATATTCGCGAAGTCTATTGCATATAATTGAAATCTGTCTCTTGCACTCTCATTTTGTTTTCTTTAAATATACATAAAATGTGGTAGTCCCAGTCGAATGCCCACAAATGGGAAGATGTATTTGTGTTTTACATTCAATATGTATTCAAATCATGATATATGGATTATCGACTGGGATATATGAACTTTCATACTACCACTCTAATCTTAACCTTTCTTCCCCTTCAAATCATATCAATATATTCAGGTATTTCCTATTTAATCTCATGAATTCCCATGAATAAGGAAATTTGATGTTTTTTTCTTGTGTCACCTTGTATTAAATACATTTATCCTGAAGAGTATGCATTTCTTAATTTTCCAGAATAGAGAATTAAAATATATGTGTTGTTTTCATAGATCCAATGCCCTTGAGCATTTTAAAATGAAAATATACAATGTTTTTATCATAAATTATATGGAAAACATTTAATTAACTGTTAAATATTGAAATATATATATATATTCTCAAAATGGAGTTATATATTATTTCTAAAGTTTCTAATTATATTTACAGTTTGACCTAGGCACTTTAATCTAGCTTTTATTTAATCAAACATTTTATGAAATCATCTTATAGATCTTTCATCCTTTCTAGGAAAATTGAACAGTAAATTATTCTTTTCCAATATGAGCAAAGTATCCATCAGAAGTGTTTTATCAGCAACCAGAATAATATCCTTTTTTAGAATTCTTATTGAACTTTGCTTTTGGCTACCTTTTTATTGACTGTTTTCAGCTATATTGATACACAATATCAGTCTGGATCCATTTTTTTTTCAGATACAGAAAAATGTGTGAAATGCTCAAAGTTTCAAATACAGGTACATATGTTTGAAAATTAGCTACTGAGCATAAGAAATAGCTTCTTTTCCATAACTATTTTTTGCTATATTTCCAGGGTCATATTGAACCTTTGTAGTTGCATAATAACCCCTAATACATGTTGTATTTATCTCTCCTTCTCTATGGTTTTGTTTCTTGGCTGTTTCCAAATTGCATGGTTTGTGGGTAGGCACTATTGTAAGTTGCCTTACATAATTCTGCCACATAAACTTTCTTTTGACTTGCATATCCTAGGAGACATTCTTATCATGACTAATGACAATGGCCTAGCTTCTTAAAATAATCTTCTATAGACTAATATTACTGAACATACTCATTTTGCTTGTCTCCTAAGCTAGGGTTGTATCTTTGGGTATTAACAGGAAACAAATATACATTGATCTACTAATATCACTAACTGTATACCCTGATAATCATGCATTTTCATGAGCTAGCTGCCTGAACTGGATAGAACTTTGTAAGGTAGGACTGCATAAGTTCAGCTGTGAAATGAGAGCAAACAAACAAACGAAAAGGCTTCATTGTCAGTAGTAGGGTGGCAGCCAAATCTGTTTCGGGGCCAAAAGCAATTTAAAATGATTTAATCTTTGGAGTGCATTTATTGGAGACCTTTAATTCATACCATGACACAGACCTAGGTCTCTCATCCTATTTTCTTAGGTGAAATGTAGGGAAGGTGACCCATTGCCATTATGCATGCTAGACCCGTCCAAGAAATTGGTAAACATGTTCCTGACATATATCATTTTGCATTCACATTATGAAGACATTTTCTGCATTTTGGGGTGGAAATACCAACTGTGGACGTACAAGCAGCACTGAAGCATTCTCCATTCCCTCTTGAGAACATCCTATTTAAAGATCCTTTCCCCAGTTTATTTTTAATTTCCACATCGAAAGTACTTTTCACCTTTTTCTAATATCACGAAGGTTCTTTTTGGCATGATCTTTTTTTGCCTTCTGGTATCTCTTAATTGAATCCTAATTAAGAATGATTTCCATTTTATAGAGTCATAATACATCATAGAAAAAAAAAAAAAAAGAACTCCTCAGTGCCAGGGAAACCGTACATACTACTCTACAATAGAGTAAGTCTAATGTTAGCATTTCACATAAATATTCAAGTAAATTGGGCATAAGACGAAACGTAATTTGAAATGGAATTGGGTTAGCGGTAATAGGGCCCCAGACTGTTGGGTCAATGTTGAGTTCTCAATACTAACACTAGAACTGGCTAGTCATTGGTAGAATTAGCTCAATACCTATTGCAATTAGAGTGGTTTCAATGAAGTTTAAGATTTTTTTTTCTACTTCTAACACATTAGTCATAGCGCATGCATCATTCTGTTTATTGACCTTTTTCTCCCTTTTTCAACATGGCCAAGAAACCATACTTATACAACTAATCAGTAAAGCGTTTCATATTGTTTTAATAATATTATCAATAGATTTAGTGGTCATTTTATTTACTTTGCCTTTTTTTGCAAATCTTTCTATGTTTTCACTCTGCAGGAAATGGTGGTCCTTTAATATTGGATTAACTTTTGAATGCTATTTGTTTTTACCTATCTGCAGTATGTCATTCCTTGAAATATCTAGGCATTATACAACTTAACTATTATTGCAATCTGATCTGACTATAGATAAAATTGGAGGGTATGTATTCTACTACTGATGAGCTCTTTTTAAAAAATCCACATAAAATGACACATTTTAGGAAAATGTAAAGGCTATCATAATTGTTTTGTTCAGTCATTGGGGGAATTCTAGTGTCTTTTAGGTCATTTTTTTCCCCTGCATTTGTCCTTGTGTATATATGAACTATTACTGCTGCACTGAATGTGTTTTCTTCAATAGATTTGACTACGGTCAACTTTGGATTATGTACATTAACAGAGCAGAGAGGAGTGATGGCCCATTCGAATATCACTTATATTTGAATTTAAAATACATCTTGGTACTGAAAATTGAATGCAAGCAGGCTTAGCAATTTGGAAGGTTACACCAAAATTAATGATGTAGTATTGTACAAAATTACTGTGAGATGTTGTCTTCCAGTACTAATTCTCAACTTCTGCCTGAGCTCCACCCTTTGGGAATATATCACTCTTCTCCAGTTGTCTTTTTTCACGTGTATTTTATCCCAGGCTAAGCACAGTTGCCCTTTCAGTAGCATAAGTTAGGGTCCGATTAGAGGATTAAGTTTCAGAGCTTTTTCTTCTACATGTAAAATTAGAGTGACTGGTGGAAATCCAGGAGCTAAGGGGGAAAGTCAGTGTTTTCCATACTGAGAAGAGTCTGCATATAAATGTACATATGTACACACACGCGCGCATGCACACACACAACTTGTAGTGTGATACCGTAAACCTACATGTATTATTCACATACGTTGCTGCCAATAATTACATTCATTTAATTCAGAGTGGAGAACATATGCTAGGGCTAAAAGAAAATAGGCCAGAAGCCAGACAAATTCAGTTTCAGATTTCAAATCTAGCACTTCCTATCTGTGTCAGTTTTGGCAAATTATTTACTTTTTTCCTCCTCCTGTTTAGAGGGAGGTAACGATGTGCATGGTGTGGAGATATAAGTGAGTTCATATACGTAATGTGCTTGGTGTATGGTCAACTTTGGAATGATGTTATGTTGCTTTTATTCCAGTCACTACTCATGTTCCAAGCAGAGGGACAAGCAGGACAATTAACACAGCTCTGCCATCGCCCTAGTTACAGTTATGGATACAATTTCCTCTGCCCACCCTGATGTCTCTATGTTGGGAGAGAGGAATTTAATAAATGCCCCGTGTGCTCTTTTATGTCAAACTTTAGACGTCAGCATCCCTGCGAGGTCCACTGTATAAATTTTATCAGAGGTTTCACCAGGTGCTTTGCTTTTTCCCAAGTTTAAGTCTATTAAATTAATTTCAAATGAACTTTTTGAAAAATTTTAAAATTGTCTCTCTTTAAAGAATGTGTTTTCAATATGAATCGAACATCCCTCTCCAGGGACGTACTCTAGAAAAACAGTGTATCGTGTAGAATGTCCACATTCTAAATCTGAAAATTTAAAAATGTACGTCTTGTCTTTATCTTATCAGATCGAGAACACTTAACCTCAAGACTTTAGTTAGCATAATTTTTGTTCTCTTCTTTTCTTAAATGCTTTATTGGCTTAGTGTTTCTACTGCTAAATAGGATATTTTAACTTGCACTGGTTTCTGCTGATTTGTTACATAAAATTTTCTAGAGTAATTGTCAACTTGTAATGAGGCTAATGAACAAAATTTGTAGCCATTGTGGTGTGAAAAAATTACACTATATTAAAATTCAAGAGTTCCAAACAATTAATTTAACTTCTTTTTGGCTAGGCTACCTTTCAGTTTTCTTTAAACTCTGAAGGAACAACACCAAAAAAAAAAAAAAGGTAGGAGGTGTGTCTGGGTGGCCCAGTTGGCTCAGCATCCGCCTCTTGATTTTGGCTGAGGTCATGATCTCATGCTCCTGAGATCAAGCTCCACATCAGGCTCCATGCTCCGGGGGGAGTCTGCTCAAGATTCTCTCTCTTCCTCTCCCTCTGCCCTTCCCCCTACTTGCTCTCCCTCTCCAAAATAAATAAATCTTTAAAAAAAGGAAAAAACACTGAAGGAATAACACCAACAGTAATGGTGTACATGGGCCATTACTGTGCTGGCGAAACAATGGAGATAGTAACCAAAGTGCATAAATTAGTTGGCACCAGATATGTGGAAACATAGGGAATTATCCTGCTATTATAGAGGCACATTGGCTGAGAAACATAGTGTAGAGATAGAACATTTTGGTTCCACCATTATCTAGAAAGTTCTTCCGTAAATAATTATAATGATGATGATAAGAACAATAATGAAAAGGATATGTAGTCATTGCACTTTGTATTTCCAGGAATTTAAAAGAGCCA